TCTATCTATCTATCTATCTATCTATCTATCTATCTATCTATCTATCTATCTATCTATCTATCTATCTATCTATTATGGAAGGGCAGCTAGGTGGTGCCATAATGCATAGAGTACTGGGCCTGAAGTCAAGAAGACTCATTTACCCAAATTCAAATCCAGTCTCAGACATTTACTAGCTCTGTGACCCTGGGCAAGTCACTTCACCTTGTTTGCCTCAGTTCCTCATCTATAAAAAGAGTTGGAGAAGGAAATGGCAAACTACTCCAGGATCTTTTCCAAGAAAACTCCAAATGGCCTCATGAAGAGTCAGATATGAATGAAACAACTGAACAACAAATATATATATGAAAGTTGGAGAGAGTCATATTTCTTACAAATATAAAGAAAATACTTCCTAAAAATCAGAACAGCCCAAGAGTGGAATAGGCTACATCAGGGGGTTACTATTTTCACTTTTTGAGGAGTCTTTAAGCAAAGACTTAATGACTACTTGGGTATGTTGTAGTGGAGTTCCCATCAGGTCCAGGCCTCTAAGTTTTCTTCCAACTCTATGATTCTATGAAGTATAAGGAGGCTATTCTTGCCACAATTCAGGAGTGTGGTAGTGAAGTCTTAAAATTAGGGGATAACTTTGGGAGTGGAAAAAAAGGATCAGATATGAGCGATATTGCAGTGATAGGATAGATGAGGTTTGTCCAATGATTAAATGTGGAAGGGGAGAGAAGAATCAATGAAAAATAACACTAAGGTTGTGCTGGAGCCAGCTTGTACTGACTTGTGAGGACAAACTGTTAAATTTTCAGTGTGAATATTTATATTTTGGAAATCAGCAAATGCTACCAATCAGGGCTTGATTTATTATTATTTTTATTGTCTAGACATAAGAAAGATGGAAGAAGATATTAATGATTCAAATTAAACTTCAAAGAGTATAGAGTGTAAGAAAAAATTTTTGAGAGCTGACTGCTAAGCATATACCAGCACACCCCTGGAAAACACCAAGATTTTAAACAGGGTAGATTGGGAATGTCAGTACAACAGAAAGAAATAGTAGAGTCATTTGAAAGAACAGGTTCAGGGGCAACCCTGACAGTGAAGTCAAGTCTGGATATGTTGAATTTGAGGGGCAGATGGGACATCTATCCTCTTCCCTCTTTATCCAAATCCCTTAATTCTACACTCCTTATCTTCTCTTTTCTGGGCATTCAGGCTGCAGTATGACAATTTGCCAGAAGGTGCCGTCATCTAACACATATAGGCAACTATCAACTTAAATTTCCTACTTACCACCCCTGACCACTTTCAACCTCACTGGACCCCCCATTGCCACTGCAATAGAAGATTGTGCGTGTGTGTTTGTGTGTGTATAAACCCAAAACCCGATTTTGAAAAGCCTGTGGACTCCAAAGCAGAGGAAGGGAAGAAGTCATGAAAATCAGACAGAGTTTAAGGCAGTATTGGATTCCCATGCTGACTCTGATGACTCCTATGCCCCAAAATTGCTTTTATCTAAACTGCCTGACATTTTACAAGTCTCATTTTGTTACGCTGATTTGTCTCATTATTCATATACTAATATAGCTTAAAGTATCTCAGTTTGAAAAATGTTAACATCTTAGAGAATATTAGGCTAATAGTCCCATACCTCAGTGTGAATTTACTCAAGCAACTTTCTTTCCCTGTAACATGTAGCTGAGTTCAAGAATATTAGGAGAATTTTATTGAAGGAGGTAGAAAGGGAAAGTAGGTAATTTTGGACCATATAGAAATTGTGGAAGGGAGACGGAGGGTCTGGATAACCTTTATAGTCCATTTGTACAGTGAGGTATCAGTTAAAGGACCCTGTGGACACACTTCTGAGCAGAAGAGTACATGGAGATGAGAGAGCACAATGGAAAGAGTGCTGAGTCTCAAGTCAGGAAAACCTAGATTCAAATACTCTGACATTGTATGATCATGGTCAAGTCACAACCTCAGTCTCCTGAAAAATAGAGATGATAATAATACCCATGCTCTTGTGAGGCTCAAATGAAATGATGCATTTGGAGTGATTTGCAAAGATCATAGATTTAGGGCTGAAAAGGACTCAGAGGTCATCAAATCCAATGCCTTTATTTTAAAGATGACGAAACTGAGACCCAGAGAAATTAGGTGATGTGCCCAAGATCATGCAGTTAGTAATCAGAAGAACCAGGATTTAAACTCAAATCCTATGACTCCAAACTCACTGCTAAACTATACTATATTATGCTGCCTCTCAATATGAATGCCAGTTATTATTATCTATTTTTACATTTTGTACAGAGACATCGTAAGGAAGCTCTCTTCCTCCTCCTTTTCCCTTTCCTCTAAACCTCTTGTGACATGTACCTTCCTTCTCCCAGGGCCTAGAACTCTGGCTAGCACCACTGATGCTACAGTTTAGCTTGATTTTTTTTTTTTTGGTAAGGCAATTGGAGTTAAGTGAGTTGTGCAGAGTCACACAGCTAGTGAGTATTATGTGTCTGAAACTGGATTTGAATTCAGGTCCTCCTGATTCCAGGGCCAGTGTTCTATCCACTGCACCACCTAGCTGCCCCTGGTTTAGCTTGATTTTGAGTGAGCAGCCTGGTTGACTCAACTGGTTGTTATGCATATCCATCATATAAGAACTTTTTTGGGGGATGGACAGAGAAATTGGCTTACAAGCAAACTAGTGAAAGTTAATTCACCAGTGGGTTAGAGATCGTATTTCATGTGCCCCAGATACTTTCTAGCTGTGTGACCCAGGGCAAGTCCCTTAACCCTGTTTGCCTCAGTTTCCACATCCATAAAATGAACTGGAGAAGGAAAAAGGCAAACCACTCCAGTACCTTTGCAGAGAAAACCCCAAATGGGGTCATGAGTCGGACATGATGGAAAATGACTCGACAACAACAACAACCAAAAGCCTAAAACTTCCTTAGGTTAGAATCCTCAGGTTCTCTAAGAACAAATTCGGGCTTGATTGTGATTTTTGGAAGTTCAATAGTGTAGAAAATGAGGTTAGTTTAAAAAAGATACACCTGCATGTGAAGGGAAAGAAAGAAAATAATGAGGGAATGTTCTTGTGATAGGTTGCCTTGGATACAACTATGTAACTGAGTCATAGTGAGGTCACCCCTCATTATGTCTAGAGCTCAGTACAATAGGACGAAGCCCCATTTTTATTATCTTACAGGGCCCTTTTTATATCAAAAAGATGTTTCTGGGGTGATACACAAATAGTAAAACTTTAAAACCTCTGAAGTGACATTTATTCTCTCTGCAACTACATTCCTGCTCTATTGACACCTTTCCTTTTCAATCAAATGCTATTCATTTTTTTATATCACATTCTAGGAGTTGCCAATATGATGCATTCACTGTAGACACAAAAATCTTGCCTTTATTTTCACTTTTTATGGGCCTCACTTTCCTTCCCACTTCCTCTTAGTAGAGATTTTCCTCCCCCTCTCTGGGATGACTCTGACATGTTGTTTATGGCATCCTTATTTTTATCTGATTTTTAAATGTCCATGTAACTCTCCCTTGATGTTTTGATTCCCAACATGTACTCTTATTTTCAATAATAATTTTCCAACCCATAAGTTCTCTATTTCCTATCCCTATCTTCTGACCATTACTTCTAGGATCTCTGACAGACAGCTCCTCCTTGTCATTTTGATCCAGGTGTTGTCTTTTGTTTTTAGGTGACAGGGTTTTCCTGTTTTTACCTGCTCTGTGAATTATATCTTCAGGCGGTAGCAACAAAAGCTATAGCTAAGCAGCCCTGAGACTCCATGCTTCCTTCGGGTTAATTTTGGTATCAGACAGTGTAAGCCTTTAGCTCTCTAGCTGAGGCACGTCGCATCAAGAGTTTGGGGCTTTTGTAGGTAAGAATGATTCTGCTAACAAAGGTTTTTTTCCCTCCCCAGATTAAGGGTTGGCCTTCTGGCAGGCTGCTTTCAAGAGAGAGCAGCAGCTGCAGAATGAGAGAGAGAGAGTGAATCAGGGAGCCTGGGATAACTGAGCCACCTGGGCTCTTTCCATGATATAATAAATTTCAATTTGTGCCCACTATGTATTTTGAGAGTGAAAATATAAACAGGTGCCTTCCACAGTCTATGCGAGCTGCTGTGTTGGCAGACCAGTGCCCTGCTACACCCATTCCTGGGTTTCCCCAGAATTAACTGACTCAATCCAGATGAACCCAACATCATCTATAGTGAGGGTAATCAGCTTGCCCACTTGAGAAATCTGGTCTTGTTCCCCCACCCCCTAATAATAGAGGACCAAGTCTTTTCATTATAGGTTAGAAGTTGCAATATCGTGGGCAGAGAAATGGTTTGGAGTTGAGAGGATTGGAGGTGTAGGCTCTGGTTTTGGCTAAGCCAGCTAACCTCTTTTAGACTTCCTTTTCTATTACTTTCACAAACACTTTCTATGATCTAACAGCATTACTAGTTATTCCCTGTACATAACATTCCACCTTCCTTAGCACAGACTGCCTTACCAAGGAACTAGCCTTCATGTTACTATCACGTAAAACAACCCAGTGAAGACACACAGACCTCCAGGCCAGTACTTTCTTCTGAATACTCACGTTGTAAATGCTGGGTTGTATTTTGCACCAAGGTAGTAGGAATACAGGTTGAACATTCCAATCATGAAGGCAACAAACACCATGATGAAAATGACCATGAACTTGAAGATATCCTTCACTGTTCTTCCCAAAGAAATCTGCAGGGGCCCAAAGCTCTCATTGGCTGGAAGAATGTAAGCAATGCGGGAGAAGCTCAATACCACGGCTATGGCATATAGTCCTTCTGATATGATCTGAGGGTCAGAGGGCCGCCATTTGTTCCTGGCTAAAAGAAAATTATGGAGGTTACCCATTTGGGAAGAGAAAGGGCCTAGTAGGAAATAGGACAGGATTACTGAATATTCATAGCCACAAGGTTCAAGAAGCACAGAGGTTTGATACCAGTCTTGAGCTCTTTAGGCAGTACAGTGGACAGGATACTTTAGTTTAGAGGGATGAAGGCAACACAGGAAAGTCATTTTAAGGGAAAATCACTTTGGGTCTTTTCCCTCATCTGTTAGATGAGGGGGTTGGATTTAGGGATGCTTAAGGTCCCTTCCAGTCCTGAATCTGTGATCCTCTAAATATTTTTTCATTACTATTACCTAAGGCAGATGGAAGGTTAATAACATATTCTTCTACTTTTCCTTAGGATAATGGGCAGTGGAAGGCAAGGAAAATAGAACCATGGTTATGATACAGCCCAGGAAAGTAACTTGCTGTCCAGCTTTGGTCAAGATAATCCCTAATTGTTGATAACCTGTGTTGGAGATAAAACTGTGCTAGGGGGTTTCCCACATTCGAGAGGCTTTGATTAGGGGTTTCCTACATCCAAATTGCAAGGAGGGATGCTTCATTTTAGGATTACCATATCTAAGATTTTTAAAATAGCAAGACCATATTTCACCACTAAAATGTATCTAGGTGGAATAATGGATAAAGATCTGGGCCTGGAGTCAGGAAGACTTGAGTTGAAATTTGACCTCAGGCACTTATGAGCTATGTCACCTTGCGCAAGTCATTTACCTTCTGTTTGCCTCAGTTTCCTCAATTGTAAAATGGGGATAATAATAGCACCTACCTCTTAGGGTTGCTGTGAGGATAAAATGAGATAATATTTTTAAGTGCTTAGCACAGTGCCTGGCATATATTAGGTACTCTATAAATGCTATTTATTATTATTATTAAATTTGATCTGTTTAGCAGTATGTCAGTGACATAGTTCTGGTATGGTGGGGAAAACACTAGGTTTAGAGACACAAGATTTGAGTTCTAGGCTTTACTCTTCACTAGGTGTGTATTGTTGGAGAAAAATCACTTAGCCTTACTTTCCTCTTTTGTAAAATGAGATGCCATATATAAAGTAATTTGATTCTGTAAAGAATACTATTATCACTTCTCTGTGCTTTTCTGAAGAATAGAGGTTATTAAGAGGGAAAAAGCATTCTCCAGAAAGCTGTATGAAGAGCAATGCTCCTAGGTACATTTGGGTTGGTACAGGGAGAGAGCGGCTTAGGAGTCAGAGGGCCTTGGTTGAAACCTCAGCTCTCCCAGTGACTAGCTGTGTAACCTTAGGTATGTCACTAAATTTCTCTGGACCTCAATTTTTCATCTGTAAAATGAGAGGGAGGGATTAAATGACCTCAAAGTTCTATCAAGCTCTAAATCTGTGATACTAAAATGTAAGACATTTATTAAGCATGTGCAAGATGCTGGGTTAGTCACTGCTGAAACAAACCAAAATATACAATATAGACCTTGCTCTGAAGGAATTTACATTTTAATAGAGTCAGGAGACCAAGATTCAAGTGCCATTGCTGATGCTTATGAGCTGTGTGACCACGAACACAGGATTTTAACTACCTGAACCTCAGATCTGTAACATGGAGGTAATAATTCTAGCACTAGCTATTTTACAGGTTGTCGTAAGGAAAGTGCTTTGTAAAAGCCTTAGAGTGATATATAGATGTGAGTTATTATAGTCATTATTATTATAGTGGCCTCCAAGCTGCTTTGTAGTAAACAAATGCTTATTTGGGGACCATATGGTGCTTAAAGGAACCTAGTATTTAGCCAGAAGGGCCCTTGGAAATCATCTCCTGCAAAGTCAGATAGAAACAAATCTTGGCAGGCTACATATTGACTCAGAAAACCCTAAATTAACATTATCTATATTATATTGTATTTTTAGCTTATTTTGTTAAACATTTACCAATTACATTTTAATCTGGTTTGGGATTCACTTGGGCATTTGCATTGGGCTGGTAGGCGGCCAATTTGACACCTACGAGTATAGTTTTATTTTACAAATGAGGAAATTAGAATTTGGAAGAATTAAGAGACTTATCTAGGGTCACACAGCTAGTTGGTAGCACTTTACCAATAGACTTCTTGGACCAACCTTCTTCAGCAATCCCCTGTCCCCCATGTGGCTATAGCTAATATGGACCACTTAGGGGGTCTTCCAGTAGAATGCAAATCTCTTGAAGACAGGGACCATTTCTTTCTTATCTTTGTATTCCCAGTCTAGCACAGTGCTTTGCACATTTTAAGTGCTTAATAAACACTTGTTGAACTGATTATAACTAGAAGTATTACTTTGTAAGTCCAAGGCTACATAAGGAAGAGAGAGGTGAGGATGGGGACAATCAGGCTGTCTTTTTCTGAGAGTCAGGTCTCTAGGGCTGATTTTATTTTTTAAAACTAGAATGATTGATATTCTACATACAGAAAACTGTATAAAAATATTCTCAAAAGCATCTATTGATTGTATGAACAACAATGTGTATATTAAGCAGACATATATATATAAAGTATATATGTATTAATATACTGTATATATAAATATATGTGCATATTTTACTCTCTGTATTTGTATATATATTTCTATATATATACAAATATATATATATATATATATATATATAGTGACCTGTGTTTTCATCACTGAGGGGAATTTCCAGTGTAGACACTCCCTCTGTCCATACAAATAGGCAGTTTATCGGTAATTTACATTCTTAGAGCATTGTCTGGAGCACTAAGAGATCAAGTGATGTGTCCGTGGTCACAAAGCTAATATATTTCAGAGGCACTTGAATCCTGCTTTCTTCCTGACTTCAAAGCCACTATCTCCAGGGGCATACAATACTCTTTTTTTTTTAATCAGACCTGTGATTTCAATGATGAAGAGAATTCCCTCCGAAGAAACTCCTTCTATTGGTATTTACTGGCAATCATATTGCAACTTATTAATCAACCAATAAACAATTATTGGAATAGTGGATAGAGAGCTGGCCTAGGAGCCAGGAAGACCGAGTTTGAGCTCTACCTTTGACATATCAACTGTGTGACCCTAGACAAGTCGCTTAAGTCCTCAATGTTCTAGGACTCTTTCAAAGATTGTAAGTTACAGAGAAGGCGCAGATTTGCATTAGTAGTAGAGTGTTTTCTCAGTGGGGAGTTGCCTGTACCAGTGAAATCACAGGCTTAATTATTATCTTTGTTCCTACTCTGTGTGCACCTAGCACTGTTCTAGATACTAGGGATACAAAAACAAAAATGAAACAATCTCTACATCATGGAACTTCTATTCTGTCCCTCATATATAAGGGTGGGGAGACCTTGAGGGCCACCTTCCCTTGCTTCTCCCCTTTCCCCACATTTTAATCTGTTGTGGCCCTGAGAAATAACCTGTGATTTTGACTTTTTCATTAGAGGTGAAGAGAGTGGTATGAGCCATGGGATGGGGAAAAAGCAATCCAGGCTGGATGTTGCAGGAGTTTTGGACTTAAACTTGGTGGAACTAAAGCTATTTAAGACCTGAGCTAAACTGTGAGTCTTATACCTTCCCCTTCCCAGAGACTGAGAGAGTGTGTGCATGGGATTATACCACTAAGGTATTGAGAGGTAACTGCATTTTTGTTCTTGCTCTATCACTGAAGTAAATATCTGTTTGTGAAATCTAACTCAATGCTAAGCGGCTAAATGGAATTGGAGCGCAGCTCCCAAGGACCCCTAAAATGGGGGAACACAATCAGTGGAGGCTTTAACCAGTGAAAGTCATCAATCTTCTCTGTCTTGAACCAGAGAAATGAAACTTCCCAACCCACTCAGGATACCCAAAATGCCTTGCAGGGAGTAAAACATAAGAGGCCTGGCCATTAGACAGTAGGGATAGTCAATCTATGTTATGTATGCAAAATAAATACAAGACAGTTTTTGAAGAGAGAGCCCCAGAAGTTTCAGAGACTAAGAAAGGCTTCAAGGCGGTGCTTGTGCTGAATTTGAAGGAAACCAGGGGTTCTTAGAGACAGAAGTGAGGGAGGAGTGCTTTCCAGACACAGCCAGAGCAAAGGCACAGAGGTGGGAGATGTAGCGTCTTTTATGAGGAACAGCAGGAAGGGTCTTGGCTAGACTGCAGTGTACCGAATGGGAGCAATATATATATATAATGAAAGGCTGTCAGGTCTGCGTGTGAAGAGCTTTAAATGACAAGGGAGTTTACATTTTATTCTAGAGGTGATGGGGAACAACCAGAGTTTCTCGAATAGTTTCTTGAATGATTAAAACTTCACTTAAAGAAAATCATATTGGAAGTTGTGTGGAGGATGGTTTGGTATGGGGATAGACTGACTATTAATAATAGGTGAGTACTATTATAATTATCCTGGGGCAGCTAGTGGTAGAGTAGATAGAGAAGTGGGCTTGGAGCCAGGAAGATCTGAGTTCAAATCTGGCCTCATACACTTACTAGATATGTGTCCCTGGGCAAGTTACTTAACCCCTATTTGCTTCAGTTCTTCATCTGTAAAATGAGGACACACAGGAGAAGGAAATGACTAACCACTCCAGTATTTTACCCAGGAAAACTCCATAGATGCTTCAGTGGATGGAATGTCAGACCTGGACTCAGGAAGACCTGAGTTCAATTCCAGTTTCAGATACTTACTAGCCATGTGACCCTAGGCAAGTCACTTAACTCTGTTTGTCTCAGTTTCCACATCTGTAAAATGAGTTGGAGAAGGAAATGGCAAGCCAGTCTAATATTTTTGCCAAGAAAACCCTAAATGGGGTCACAAAAAATTGGATATGACTGAAAATGACTAAACAACAACAATAAAAAATAATTATCCAAGATAGAAATAATGAGGGCCTGAATGTGGTGATCATGTGACTGATGAGGAGTTAGAGGTGATGGATGTTTTGGAGGAAGAAATGTTTAGATTTGGCAACAAGCCAGATATGTTAGGTGAGGAAGTGTGGAGTTGAGGATGACACAGAGGTTTT